TATATATATATATATATATATATATATATATATCAACTTCTTGGTATCCTTATCTATAAGCTGATATTATAATAAATTTTAATTAATCAAGGCTAGCTAGAGATATTGGAGGTATTAAACGACATTTGATTGGCTTAGGGGGCTTCCTCTCATCTTTTTTGACTTCTTTATTAATGAAATTCATAAAGCAAATATATGATGGGTAGAACAGTACAGATTGTGACTTGAGTGCTTCTGCCTAAAAATTCATAAAGCAAATATATGATGGGTAGAACAGTATAGATTGTGACTTGAGTGCTTCTGCCTAACCATTGGGTCCATTCTAACATAAAGTTTTTTTGTGTGTATATTTATTTAATTTTTTAGATTTTATTGGTAAGGGAGCACTAAAATCATTCTCTGCATTATTTAACGTTCCAAGTACTAAGAGCCCAATTGAATTTGACTTCCTTGCTTCTATAAAGTGAAGAAGGATAGAGATTACAAAGCACAATTCAATTTGCTTTATTTCAAATAAAAATATAAATACAGTAAAATGAAAATGTAAATTATAAAATATAAATAATCTCTGGTAAGTTTGAAAGGTTAAGAAAATAAGGCAGCCATTTTCAAACAACTTTGATTGAAAATCTAAAAAGTGATGGAGTAAACAAAGAAAACATTCCCTAATGAATCTGATTTGAATGCCCAAAAAGTGATTAATCAACTGCATTAAGAGCCTAACAACTTCAACAATGAAGGCAGTCAACAAAGAAATTCCTTTGTTTTAATTTTCCAATATTTTATTAACTTCAAAGCTTAAAAAACTTCTTTTATTCCCATTGAAAGAAACTAAAACAAAGAAGCTTTCTAACTTCTTCTCTATAAATACCTCCTCCACTCCATTACTCTCTTCATCACTAACAATAGGTACCAAATTCCACTTAGAAAACCAACTAACTCCTCTTCTTTGAATCCCAAATGGCTCTTTCTTTGAAGGTCATATTTCTCATCTTATTCCCTTACATTCATTCACAATCTCTGGTGACCACCGCAGCGTTCGTCAAATCTCGGGCTGCTTATTATCCTAATTCTGAACAAAATGGCACAGCAGGTTTATTACTTTGCATTATCAATCATAGTAGATAGATCTCAATATGATGTTTCAAATTATTATAATCTTTATAAGATTTGTTGAGTTGTATCCTACTGATTCATTCTCCACTAATGATTCCCTCTCAAGTTTAATAGGCTTTATGTCTAACTTGAAGCATTTATTAAATTTCTTGCATTCATAAAATTATAAGAACTAATATCATCAAACCATATATGTAAAATCAACATTTTCTATAATCTTTACTTGGTGATATAATTTGTAGACGGCGCATGCGGGTATCGATCGTATGGAGCTACCCTCAATGGTGGCGATGTTTCAGCAGCTTCTGATCTCTATCGCAATGGTGTTGGTTGTGGTGCATGCTATCAAGTAATAATAAATATTACTTCTTTTTTTTATTTTTTATTTTTTTTAAGGGACACCAAAAATCAATATATGATTATAATCTTCCCGACATTCTAACATATGGCATGCATTAAATTGTGATAACATTTTAGTCTCTTAACATTTTGTATGTTTGTCTTTGATTTGTTAGGTGAGGTGCATGAACCTCAACTATTGCTCGGATAATGGTGTGACGATCGTCATCACGGATTCGGGCTCGAGCGGAGGCACCGATTTCATATTGAGCCAGCATGCTTTTGCAGGAATGGGGCAAACCGTTGATGCCGGCAAATCTCTTCTTAACCTTGGTTGGGTTGATATTGAGTATAGGAGGTTGGTTTAAATAGTTGAATATTTCATGCACATCGATAAAAATATGAAGTAAATATAAATGATAATTTTGAGCTTAGTTACCTAGAGAAATTTACATAAATAGATTTAACATTTCAAACAACATAAATAAATGAAGAATAATGATTCATGAAGTCGCCGAACCAAATTAATTTGAAGAGGGCTTATAATGTTGATTATGATGATGTCGATAGGCTTATTGAGTTAATTACTCGTATTCTTCTTGTAATTTCCTATAATAATGAAAGTGAAAAAAAAAAGGCAAAAATAGCTACAGATAAATAATTGATATGCTGTAAAATTCATGCATTTTGTAGAGTCTCGTGCAGTTATCCAAATAAGAACATAACCATAAAGATTGATGAGAGCAGTAATTTCCCCGACTATTTAGCCTTTGTGATAGAATATCAACAAGGAATCAAAGACATTATAGCAGTACAGTTATGTGAGGTATAATTCTTCCCCTTTTTTTTCATATTTCTGAATGAATTCATGACTATTAAGATTAAGAATATAATGAAATATTTGCTGAAAAATTAATAAAATTTGGTGATTTATGCAGACTGTGAGTTTAACATGTAAGCTATTAGATAGAAGTCACGGCACCGTATGGGCTGTTGTCTCTCCTCCTACTGGCCCTCTGTCTATAAAGATGCTTCTAAGCGGCGACAGCATCAACGACGATGATGACAATGATAGTTGGGTGGCGCCTGTCAATAATATTCCTGTGAATTGGACGCCTGGAACTAGCTATGATTCTGGGATACAGATAAATTAGAGCTGCTCGAAATGTTTTCTTTCATGTTGAATTTTAAACAATATAGATTTTATCTACTAATAATTGGTTGATCTTTATTATTTATAAGTTGATGTTTATGTTGTTGAAAGTCAGTTTTGTTATATGTTTTCTAAATAGTTTGATTAATTCTGTATTGTTTTAATGACAATTTGAAATGACATTTTAGTTTCTGACAGAAACTTCTGTTTGGGTGCAAGTTATTTTAAATTTAGATCGCTGATAATATCATCTCTTGTATTGTATTATTTTATTTAATATTATGACAGAGAAAACTGTTGAAATAGTTCTAAATTATTCCCCCACTTTTTTTTTTTTATGGATACTGGAAAGAGCCGTCCATTTGAAAAAGTTTGGGGACTATATTAAAAGAATTTGAATACTAATTTGTCACATTTAAAAGGGCATCTTGCACGTAGTCGGGGAATCAAATGCTCGTTTTGCCCAAAAAAAACAAAGATACATGCTAATGAGCTTATGATTATGAGGTGATGATGTCACGACCATTACAACATGAGTTTGCCCACTATAGGGAGAGCTATGGTGTTGTGGGTCTAACTAAGAAAGCTTATCTAAGAATGGTTGGCTCATCATATGAAGTTGTATGATGGTGAAAGTTGAAATGGTCACTTATGGCATTAGCTCACCCACCACATATGTCCTGTAGTGGTGGTCCATTGGAGCTTATCTTTAGGCTATTACCACATTTATCCTGTCCATTATAAAGAGAGCTATGATTTTAGAGGTTGACAACTACATGGATTCACTCGCATCATAAAAATGCCAACATAAGATCATACCATAATGACATAAATAAAATTATTATGTTTTATTTCTTATGTTATGTGACATTATTATATGCCATAATGATTAATATGCTTCAATGATTAGTAAAGGGTGTGAATGAGCTTAGTGGTTGTCCATTTGAGCTTATCTTTAGACCATTACCCCATTTATTCTGTCCATTTAGTGGTTGACAACTACATGGCGCTAATCACATCATAAAAATGCTAACATAAGAACATAACATAATGAGATAAAAATAACATTATTATGTTGTATTTCTTATGTTATATGGCATTAGTATATGCCATAATAATTAATATGCTTCAATGTTTAGTAAAAGGTGTGAATGAGCTTAATTTGAGTGAGGTTATTATTTATTTGTGTTTTTCTCATTTAAATTTTGTGTGCTTATTTTGGTTCATGTTAGAATTTGTTTGTGAATATTGTGATTGTCTTTGGCTCTTTTGAATTCTACCCCAACATCTGTG